TCTGAGTTTTCGGGGTGTGAGTTTTCGTGACACCCCAAGCTTACTTGCACTCAGGTAAAATGCTCATGGATTTTGCCGACATAGGTCAATGAAGTGCCGTATGCGAGGGCTAAAGACATCGATTTCTCATCGGCTAAGAAGCTCAAAGAAAAGCTCGACCAAAAAATCGAGGATCTACAACAGCCGCAAGCCTCGAACAATACAACAACTTCTAGTTCCTCCTGTTCTTCCCCTTGATTTGTGATGATCTTAGGTATAGCGCATTAGATCATATATATAATGAATTTTGCGCTATAGAAATAATAAAATTATTAAATTATTATACGAAAAAATCCTTAGTCTTTATGCTTTCCACTTTTGCTCGAACAGCCAAAAATAAGGCATAAAACCATCCCTTCTTTCTCACATGAACTCTTCGTTAGATACGGTTTGTTTACGCTCGAGGGACACCAAGATGGCGGATAGTAACCGTTGCTAAGGTATTGGTCACGTGGGTGAAACCCAAGGATAATCTAAATTTAGATCAGTGGGTTCAAGCCGTCTCAAATGATCATCTAAGTCTTCCCAGTAGCTCATTAAATACGTATAAACATTTTGACCAATCAAATTCCTTCACTTCGGATGTGTAAGGAAAAATCCTTTACCGAATAGTTACGAATTCGTTAGCTCTTCTTGGTTTGGATGTTCAGGTATTATCGGTTTTGTCGTGAACTTTTGGCACTTCTCCGTCACTATGACTGACAAGGATACAAGTAGAGCTCGCAAAAGAACATATAATAAAGTAAGCGATGTACAAAGGTCAAAACTACAAGAACATTATGACGGCGGCATGAAAACATGCAGTTCTTATAATACGGAAAAGATTGGTGTGGCAGCCGAGGAAACTGGGCTGACTATTTATCTAGTAAAGGTAAGATATTTCTTAGTTGGACTGAAACACTACCATGTTTCATGTATGTGGAATACCCCGCCACTTATTTGCATCTCGTTGAATAATGATAGCAATCATTGTGCTGACTGCTTCTTTCTTCAAAGCGCACCGACATATTAAATGATTTAGCGGTATATTGTCCTTCAGAATTATACTTCCCTTACTCTCTGTACTGAACCAACTTATCTTTTAAAGGATTGATTCTTAAACAGAATTTTGCCCATCACATACCACGGTCAAGGAAGTTCACTGTACGATTGTGCTATTCATAATGAGGCCTCGTGGTACTGAATTGTTTGCCTCGTTAATTAAAGAAGGCTTCCTTCTTTTTTTTTTGAAATAATTGTTTTTTGCCGTTTAATGCTCAAAAATACACTTGCAGTCTGCAGTATAATCAATGATCAAGAATGTACCGGAAAAAGAAGGTATGCGTTTACTCATTCGTTATTATAAATTATAATTATTTTGTGTTACCTATTGAGAGCTAACGTAAGTAACCCTAGTTAAACGTACGCTAACCCTAGTGCCCTGTAGGCCAACAGAAGAGCTAGTTAGGCTAACCTGAGTGCTCTAAGGCTAACCGGAGCACAAGTTTGGCTAATTGGAGCTGAAAAGTAGGCTGACCTGAAAGTGTTAATAGTAGTTAACCTGATAGCTAACGATCGAATCCTGGCTCAAAGTTTAGGTTACATCCTCAATCTAGAGTGGTTGAATGTTATAATTAACAATTATTCCACGAGCGCGCGTTGGATATGAGATGATAGATAGCCAATGAGGCGCATAGCGCTGAGTTGGCTATAATCATCTCATATCCAACAAGCGCGAGTGGAATAATTGTTTTATTAAAAACGCCCTCAAGAAATTATTATTTTGTNGAAAACAATCATCAGGATTGTGTTACTATTGCCAACTTGATCAAAAATGGACCCTATGGGCCATTATATTTTTTGCAGAGGATAGAAATTTCAGATGACCAGTATTTTAATATACCTGAAGTATTTAACAATGCAATATATGCTGCCTTAAGAAGTAGCACTATTATTTAAAATTCAACAATATTTATGTACTTTTCAGTGTGGGCACAAGACTATAAAGGCATAAAATCATAAATCACATGAAGAACATTGAGAAGTTTTTAACGCCACATAATTATGAACACATCTTTGAATTGCTATTTGGACAAAACTTAAAGATTCATGAAACAAAAAATGAATAGTTCATCCAACAGTGTAAAATACCAAAACTCCAAGCTCATGAATTTATTTTCCACTCAAATCATTGAAATCATTATCATTCACCATCACTCTATAGAATATGCTATGCTAATGACTTCACCCAAATTATATGTAACTACTGCTGTATTAATGTAGACAGAAAACAGGAACTCAAACTGGTATCAGTTTTTAATTTGCTTTTTCAAACATAAACTTTAATTTAATATACTTTTTCTAAGAACCTGTCAGAAAGCCAATTTTCAATGATAGCCAGCTAACAAACAGAGAATCCTAATCGTAGTTCTTAAATTTTTACTATTATCAAACTATAGATAATGATTAGCCTAGAAGTTTGTTTGTTCATTTGTCGATCATTTTCAATGGTCAACCCAAGTGGTGTGTGACTCTACAAATGAATAGAAAATGTAATATAAAGTACTTTTAATTTATTACCTATGTTATATATTACAATACGTTACATGCATTTCATACTTTGTAACAAAGACCACTTGTAGAAGCTTGATTAGTACCCCCCCCCCAAAAAAAGAAATTAACAAAATTAAAACTCAGCATCTTTTGTGTACTAGTGACAAGTACTTTTCAGAATCTTTTCCGATATTGTGTACTTTTGGTAGGTGGTAATCAAAGCGTCATCCATCCCAGGTACATCCCCGTAGTGGGCAATGATCTCATGGGCCTCTTGGTTTTGCTGAAAATATAGGGAAAATGCAATGTGTCAAAATGAGCGTGAATTGAAAAAGGTTAAGAATGCTGTGTACAGTAGAGAAAACACTCATCTATGTAACTACAGTGAACACAATCCTCTTGAAAACAGAACTAAGAACAATAAGAAATGTGATATTTTCCTGATTTCCTTTGGCCTTTTCCTGATTCTTTTCCCTATTTAGCTCCTTAACTTCACTCTCACTCAGCTTATGTGCATGCTTCAAATGGTTGGAAAGATTATTGTATTCCTTCTGGAAAATCTGAAAGTACAATTATAGCAAAATAGATGTTAACTACTC